ATCATGGCTATCATTTCTACTCCCTTCCAGCCTTCCAGCTTCTGACTGTATTTTTCAGTTGTCAGAGCCTTCCAGTTCAGCCTCAACTACATCAGGGCCTCCCTGGACCAGTGCCAGCTCCCTGTCTTCCTGCCAGGGAGTTGATTGTTCTTGGGGTTAGTGGTAAAAGCAGGTGAGAAGCAAGCAGAAGTGCAATTGGTCCAGTCTTCTGTCTTAGTGTCTCATTTCCAGGGACCAGTCATGACTCACTGGGCCTTGGAGATGAACTTGGCCTCAGTCTTCTGCCCCCCATCACCTGATGGGTTAATAGAAAAAGCAACATCCATCTTGTAGTACATTACTGCCTTTCCAGGAATCCTAGATGAAAGCAGATTTTTTTTAAGTCTTTTATAATTATCTCAAGGTTTTCTAACAACTGTATACCCCATCTGATTCATGCTCTGCAAAACCTTTCCCAGAATTCAACTTCTGGCCTTGTCCTCAGAGTGCCTGGCCCAGTTTGAGTCCTATCTGATGCTGGGATAAATCTTCTTTCCCTTGACTTCTGACTTTAAGATGTCCTTCCACGTTTCCACCCCACAATCTCTATCCCTCTCTGGGCACAGCAGCACTTGGGAAATAGTTCCTACACTGCCTTTTATCTCATTTCACAAAATGAACTGCAAAGAAGCTGGAAGGAAAAGAGGAGGAGGATTATTGTGAGGGCACAGAGAGGGGGGGCTAGAGAAGAGCTCCAGCAGATTATCTCCTTGCTAAAAAATGCAACCAGCATCATCAACAAAGTATCGGCTCAAAAACATGCAAGAAAGGAAAAAAAAAATCAGTGTTGGGGTGGTCTGAGTGGAAGGAGCCAAGCTGCCCAGAATGTATCCTGCAAAGGCTGTCAGGAACCGATAAGAACAGCCCCAGAAGCAGATGGCACAGAGAAGAGCAGGGTGAGGGGGAACTGCAGATTTGCTGAAAGAAGCCTGAGAGAATGGGGCCTGCTACCCAGGGAATGTGGGGGCTCACTTATAAATGGCTGCAAAATGGCTGAGCTGGAGACCTCTTCACCATATTTCAGTGAGGCCTCACTCCCACTAACAGCCTGTAAATCTGCCTGTAACAAGGAGAAAATTAAAGAAATGAATCTGGGCAAATAGAAAATTAAGGAGAGCTGGTAACAGCCAGCTCCTGCAGAGAGCAGGAGTTGGAGGAGTATAGAAGACTCTTATCCTGTGCATTAGGATGATCGGGAGAATCTAAGCCATTATTTGAAGGGCTGGAAGGAATTAAGATCTGGACATTTCCCCAGTATTATGGTACCTGGGAACATGAACTTTGAAAACCTAGTTTCCAGGACCCAAAATGATGTGGTAGCTTGAAATGCAGCTGAGTGCAGTGGTTCCCAAAGCATAGCCTCCATTCTCTTCCATGTGAGCAGTAGCATCACCTAGTAACTTAAGTGTGCGGGTTCCCTGGCCTCACCCAGACCTGCTGAATTAGAAATGGGATGGGGCCCAGCAACCTGTGATTCTACAGCAGACTCAAGTCCCAGAACCTTGGGCTGAGTATAAGTCATGCTAGTTGGTATAAAATATTATCTGTGGCCCCTTAACTTTTGTCTCCAGGAGAGGTGAATCTTGGGCCTGTTGAGAATAGTCTGTGGGGTGGTAAGTGGTTCTTATCTACAAGGTTAGCGCAGCTGGCTTCAGTTAACTCCAAAATGGCTCTTTAAGCAAATACAAAGCAAAGGACAAAAGATTAAATTATATTAGCAACTTAGGAGCAGAAGGGCCAAACTACTTTAAAAAAAAAAAAAAAAACAGCTAGAGGTTTATGAGGTTTTATTAATATTTAAATTGCAGTGAAACCACAGCTGCAGCCTTTGACTCTAGCATAGAGATATGCAAATGTGGCTTTCAAAAGCAAGGCAATTTTAGACAGCCCTCAAGGTAATAAGAACAAATAAAACAAATGATTTTGTAATTTACCTTTATTGACTGATGTTGCCGAGGCATGAAGAGCCCATACCCTGTGAGAGTCAGCAGCAACTGAGCTCTCCAAGGGGAGCAAAGAAAGCCCACCCAGAGGGAGAAATGCCAGCAGATTCAAGACTGGTGACAGAAAAGACCCAAAGAAGACAAAACAGAAGGAGGTCAATAAGAGGGAAAGATGACTAACTTAAAATTAGAATGGAAATCCATCCCTGGGGTCTGTGGATCATCTAATCACAGGAGCAACAGCAATGATAGTCATTAATAATTATCATTTATAGGCTGGGATGTAGATCCTGGGTTTGATCCCCAGTACCACACATACACACATACATAAATTGCCACACTCCTACTATGTTTCATGCACTATTTCCCACATTCAAATGAGGAAAATGAAGCTTCAAGAGGTCAAGCAAGGGCTGGGATTGTGGCTCAGTGGTGGAGCGCTTGCCTAGCATGTGAGGCACTGAGTTCGATCCTCAGCACCACATTAAAAAAAATAAAGATATTGCGTTCATCTACAACTAAAAATACTAAAAAAAAAAAAAAAAAAAAAGATCAAGCAACTTGCTTAAGGTCACACAACAAAAGGAAGGGGTAGATTCAAATAAGTATGTGAAGCTGAGGTCCTTGCTCTTTCCAGTGTATTGTGCTGGCAATCTGGAGGCAGTGAATAACCCCGAGGTCAATGACTGAGGGGAGACTATGACTGGTTCTGTGGTAGCCTCTGTGTGTGTGTATTTGTGTGTGTGCGCGCACGCATGCTTGGTTGTGGAAGAGAGAGTGAAAAGATCCATTTATGACTTTGAAGTTGCTTGCTATCCAATAGATGAGCCAAGAAAGCCACAGAAGACCTTTGCAGAGTTCTGGTAAGAGGCTCTTTGGAGTTCAATTCCCAGCACCATCAAAACACAAACAAAATCCTTAAAGATTATGTAATGACTTTGCCCACTCTAGGTGAATTTCTGGAGGAGATATCTCAACTGGGCTTTAAGGCTTGGGTAGGGTAGAATGTGGCCAAAAGAAGCCAGGAGACGCTAGAAGGACCATATGAGAACTCCCAGTTGTCAGAATTGGAGGGAGGAGCACCTAATCCAAAGAGAGGAGAAGAGATGGAAAGGTCCTCTAATGTACCTTTCTCTGACTCTTTCTACCTACCATCCCAAACCTAGCCTCTCCATGCAGAACCTGATGTCCCTTTTAGGCATGTGGCCTCCACATGTAGCAATCCATAGACTTTGCTCTTGCTGCCAGATGTGGTGGCACCCGCTTCTAACCGACACAACTCAGAAGCCTAAAGCAGGAAGATCACAGGTTTGAGGCCAGCCTGGACAACTTAGTGAGACCCTGCCTTAAAATAAAAAGGGCTTGGGGACTGGGGCAGTAGCTCAGTGGCAGAGCACTTGCCTTGCATGTGTGAGGCACTGGGTTTGATCCTTAACACCATATAAAAATAAATAAAGGCATTCTGTCCATCTACAGCTACAAAATTTTTTTTAAATAAAAATAAAATAAAAAGTGCTTGGTAAAAGCATCACAGTGTTCAAGCCCTTGTACTAAAAAGAAAATTAAAAAAAAAAAAAGGTTTTCCTTTTACTATATTTTTACTAGGTAAGTCCTGATCTGCCATCTCTGCCAATCAATACTTGCCTAACCTCTTTTCCAAAAACCTTCCCCAGGTTTTTCTCCCCATTTAGAATATCCCAGAAGTTTTATTTTGAGATGTGCTCCTTGATAATTCCTTATTAACAAGTTAGTACCATTTTTTCTTTATCATAACCCTGCTCCATACCTGGCAGATATGTTATTAGGTACTCAATGAATATTTGTTAAGGGAATGAGTTAAAGGATGCATGAATGAACTCCATTAATTAGTTTATCCAACTGCAAGACCCACCCTCAAAAATTTTGGAAAGCCACTTTTGCCATTAGGAATGCTAATTCCCTTCAATTCCTCCCACCCATCTTTTAGGGCCCTGATTTACTCCAATATTATTATCATTCATCTATTTATTTTGGTACTGGGAGTTGAACCCAGGGGTACTTTACTACTGAGCTAAGACACAGCCCTTTTTATGTTTTATTTTGAGAAAGGTTCATACTAAATTGCTTAGGGCCTCAATAAATTGCTGAGTCTGGCCTTGAATTTGTAATCCTTTTACCTCAGCCTCTGGAAACACTGGGATGACAGGCTTGTGCCTTGGCACCCAGCCCCAAAACAATGTAAGTAATTAAAATGTCTTCCTCTTCTAAACCCATTCCCATGGATTTTCTCTGATTTTTTTTTTTTTTTTTTTTTTTTTTTACTATCATGAAGCCCCACCTCTTTAATTAATCAAATCAACACCCACCCACACAGCTTCCCCTAACATCAATGAGTCAGGCCTTCTCCAGCCTGGACACTCAAGGCAGACAAACTGTTGTTGCCATCACTGAGAAAATAATTATGATGTTCATGGTAATCCCTTGGCAGTTTCAAAGCACTACCAGTCATCTCTCCTTACTATGGTAGAATGCTAACCCTGCTTTACAGATGATAAAACTGAGGTCCAGGGCTTTGTCAAAAGGGTCAGTTCATGAGTTGGTGGCAGACTTGGAACTAACCAGCCCAGGAGTCCCTATTCATTAGACCACAGATGGAAATGCCCTCATTATGTTGTCTGGACTATGCCTGGGAGAGAAGGAATATGGATTCCAACAGGGGAGGAGGGGAGGCTGGAGAAGGTCAAAAAGAAAGCTTTTTCTTTGCAATGCTATAGTAGTTGGCACTAGATAATTCCAGAAAGGTTTTTAAAGCATTTTACATGTTCTAGATGAGGGGAGAAAGAATTCATCCAAAGGTAACAGACACACAGGTAAGCAGATGTTTTGCCATCTTTTCTTGAAAACCACATAAAAGCAAATGGTAGTGTATATTAGCAGAGGAAACTCAAGTTACAATTTAGAAGGATCTTCCCAGGTGTTAGGCTGTAAGACTCAGATAAGCTAGCATATGTGCCAAGTAAGTAGAAAATCTTGGTACAAGCCGAACTTGGCCGCGCACATGCCCGCCGCCGCCCTCAACGCCGCTGGAAGTGTCCACTCGCCTTCCACCAGCATGGCAGCATCCTCCCAGTACCGCCAGCTGCTGAGTGACTATGGGCCACCATCGCTGGGCTACACCCAGGGAACTGGAAATAGCCAGGTGCCCCAGAGCAAGTATGCAGAACTGCTGGCCATCATCGAAGAGCTGGGGAAGGAGATAAGACCCACCTATGCAGGGAGCAAGAGCGCCATGGAGAGACTAAAACGAGGCATCATTCACGCACGAGGACTGGTTCCGGAGTGCTTGGCTGAAACGGAACGGAATGCCAGGTCCTAGCCTCCCGGCCAGCTTGGGGGTTCCTGGCTCTCTACAGCTCATCTCCCCTGTTCAGATGAAATACTCATTTTCAAAATGGTAACAGTTTAGTTTTTTCTCCCAAGATTCACAGTCTCAAAATATTGGGAAAAGATTTCGAAGTTAATTAGGATTTGCATTTTAAGTAGTTAGGAATGACCCAGGTTTTTTTGTTTTTGTTTTTTTAAGATGCATGTGAAGTTATTTTTCAGCAAACTGTTGTTTGGCTCCAAGATACCAGTGTCTCCCTTTAATCTTTTGAATACTTTATGTCACCCAAGTTGTTATTTGTACCTTTTCATAAGCTCATTTGATCCCAAGGACTTTGTTTTAATGCATCCTGACCACCTGCTTCACTTAGCTGGTCCCATGTGCCATACAGTGTAGATTCTGCTTACTGGCACTTCTTTTTTGCTTAAGCATTTGCATGACTCTTAGTGCTTTGAAGTCAATTTTAAGAGTGCACAAGTTATAAATACAGAAGAAAGAGCAACCTACCAAATCTAATAAGGACCCCGAAAATTTTCATACTAAGACTGTATGTAGATTTCAGTTTGTGTTTACTGTAAGTTGATCAAAACATCTGGAAGAAAATGACTAAAACTGTTTGCATCTTTGTATGTATTTATTACTTGATGTAATAAAGCTTATTTTCATTAAAAAAAAAGAAAAAAAAAAGAAAATCTTCTTTTGGCAAGCCCTGTCCTTGGAGCCTGGTGAGGGGTGGGGTTTTCCTGGAGACACAGGGTTTGTGGGGGCTGTCTCAGGGTCCTCCACGGTCCTAAAATGAGAAGGCTGCTGATGGGATCATCCCCAAACTCACAGAAGCTCTGAAAGCCATGGAAACCAAGATCTGTGTAGAAGCTACCTCTGGTATCTAAACAAATACCAAGGAAATTGAGAGGGGGAAATGATCCTCTGAGAAATTTATTTCCTAAAGATATGTGGCCTCAGCTGGGCATGATGGTGTATGCCTGTAATCCTTAGGGCTCTGGAGGTTGAGGCAGGAGGATTGAGAGTCAAAGCCAGCCTCAGCAAAAGTAAGGCGCTAAGCAACTCATTAAGACCCATAAATAAATTTTATTTCTAGATAAAATACAAAATAAGGCTGGGGATGTGGCTCAGTGCCCCTGAGCTCAATCACCCGTGCTAAAAAAAAAAAAAAAAGATGCGGCTTCAGGGCAGTGCTGGCCAACAGTGTGATCTTCCTCCCTCCCAAAGGCCAAACCTTCTTCTATAGCTAGTGGCATCCTAGAACACAGAGAATCATTCTGTTCACTTCAGGCCAGCTCTGGGCTTTTCTTAGCCTTTAGCCTCTATTACTCTTCCACTCTGCTGAGGCCTCTGTAGCTTTTCTGCCCCACAAGGAGCAGAGGGTCACAAAACCTGAGTGCAGAGAAGTGTTGGTCACTCCACTTTGGATGTACTAAATGCCATTGATTTGTATATCTTAACAATAGGTAATATGTGACATGAAATTCATTTAAGTTTTATTTATTTTTACTTATTTTGCCTAGTGACTTTCGAGTGCTGAATCACTGGGTGACAATCTCAGGTCCCTTTTTTTTAATTTTTATTTTGAGACAGGGTCTCACTAAGTTTCTCAGGCTGGCCTCTCTAACTTGCAATCCTGCCTTAGCTTCCCAAGTAACTGGGATTACAGACATGCTCTATTTGCTCCCAAACTTTTTAAAAATTAATGTTATTTATTCAATTTTTTTATTTTTAATTTTTTAATTGTAGATGGACACAATACCTTTATATATTTTTATGTGGTGCTGAGGATTGAACCCAGTGCCTCACACATGCTAGACTAGGGCTCTACCACTGAGCCACAACCGCAGCCCATTTATTCAAGTTTTTGAGGGTGTGTGTATGTTAGTGTTGTGTATGCCCTGGGCCTTGTGCATGGTAGGCAAGTGCTCTACTACTGAGTTACACTTCCAGCCCTCACTCAATTGAAATAAATAAACAAATAAACAAAAAACAGGGGTGCTAGACCTGACTCTGAGGCTTTGATGGTCAGAGCTCTTTGCAGGGAGTGACAATGAGCAACAATGCCAGGGCCAGGCTGGGCCTCCCCCTCCTCCACCAGGTCCAGATGGGAACTGGGGCTCTGGAGAAAGGCCACACTGGGGCAGCGCTGGGCTCTGGGCAGAAGAGAGGCACTCAGTGAATGTGAGGAGGCCACAGCCGTCAGCTCATTTGCATCATAAGTGATTGGTTTTCCCTGCTCGTCCCTCGTTAGGACACAATGGACAGTTGTTTGCTGGCGCAGCAGATCATTTACCAAGGGAGAGAGGAGACAGAGCACAAATGACTGATGGGCCATGGCGGGGAGAGGCAGTCACCTCCCTCTCCTGCCCTCCCCAGGCCACTGGGACTCTTGTTCTCATACAATGAGAGGGAACCTTGGAGAGTAAACTAAACCAGTCATTTGACAGAGAGGGAACTGAGGTGATAAGAGGGTATATAAGACTTGCTTAAGGTCAAACAGAAAGTTCATAGCAGAAATGGGGCTTCTAGAAGAATCTAGAGTCTAGACTCGCTCCTCCCCCCACCCTTTATTTTTGTGGTGCTGGGGATTGAACCCATGGCCTTGTGCTTGCGAGGCAAGCACTCTACCAACTGAGCTATATTTCCCAGGCCTGGGGGAGCCCCCTTTACTGCTGCAATACATTCCTTCTTCCCGTCTGGTGGTTCTATATTTCTGTGGTCTTTCCTGTTCTGAGCATTGGTTTCCATCTTCCTCTCTTCTATGTCTGCCTTATCTAATCTCTCCGTTCTTGCCTCTGTCTGTATCTTGTCCAGGCAGCCAGGATAATTACTAAACTTCTAATTAATCTCTGGCCTAACAAGGGTGGGTCTTGGCAGGAGAGACAGCAATTTTGAAACTGTCTAGGATCTGTTTTATTGGGGATAGGTGGGAAAAGAACAAGTATGTGTTGGGGACTATGGTAAACTAGGCATGTGGCACATTTCATTTCATCCTTTCAATCTCACAAGGTAGATGTTCTTAGAAACAAGGAGAATGAGGCTCAGAGATATTGAGCAACTTTTGCAAGGCACCCAGCTGGCAAATATTAACTGACTTCAGAACTTCTGTTCTTCCACCTTCGCACACCCTAGCACAGGTCTAAGGCAGGGTGAGGGGTCTGTTGATTCCAGGGTTCAAGTGAGACACAACCTTCCTGAAGGAGGCCACTGCTGTGTTGTTCTCTAGGCAGTGACTGCCTCCCAGCAAACTCTCTCCTGTTCTCTGACTCCCACCTTCCCCTAGGCCCCTTTTCTAGAATGATGAAACGTCACAAATGGAAGTTTTCACCCCTGGAGGGTTGGTGGGGAGTCAGTGATCAAGACAGAGAAACCTGACAAACAGATCTTGGGGGTCTCCCTCCTGCTAACACCCCCTCCCTGTTCCCATCTGCCCCTCCCCTCCCCTTTGTGGGTCAAGGCTGCCAGTGTCTGGTTCTGTTTCATTGTGCTCTGGGGGAAGAGGAGAGTCGGGGGGTGAGTGGGTGTCTGTGTGCATGAACATAAGGCCTCCGGGTTCATTCTGACACTGAATGAAAAACTCACCAATTATTCGTCCAATCTCATTAATATGCAGACAGACATCTGTTATTTAGGAGTCAACAGCAGAGGCATTTTCTTGGGGGGAGGGGCACTTGTGTACTTGACTCTCTTGTCTCTAGCTACTGGGGGATATCTGCTTAGAAATCACCCCACTCCTCCAGACCTGGAGCCTCCCCTCTCTTACTCTTACCCTCAGCCTTGAGGAAAGCAGGAAGGGATTGACTAGAGATGAAGGGAGGCATGGGAACCTGGCTGGAAGGATGGAGACAGGAGAGGAGCCAAAGTTATACAAGAAACTACTAGAACAAAGAACTAACCCCCTTCCTGGGGAAGACAGTAGAGTATGGGAAGAGAGCAATACCAGGTCCTGGTGTCTGCTGGGAAATGAAAGACATGACTTTGGGACATGACTCCTTCCCCACTTTCGCAGCCCCAATGAGGAGTTCTGGTGTAGCTGAGGAAGGTTACTATGGCAACATGGGGTCCTCACTAAAATTCTTCAGAGAAAGTAGTGAGGAAAGTTCAGAAAGATAGAGACCAAAGGACCCCAACCTTTGGAGGAGTGACTAAAGCTCTCTCCAGCTCCCAGGACAGGTAATAAGACACAGCCACTTCCATCTTCTTCCGGCTTTAGGTGCCCACACCAAACACTCCCTCAGGCCCAACTCAAGTCCTCAAACCTGCACAACTATCTTGGTTATAAAGGTTGACAACAGCTCAGGCTCTGCCAGAAGGTCAAAGCTTTTCTCTCATTTTTTTCTCCTCTCTGGAATCTTCTTCACTAGCACAACGAAGTAGATGTGATCAGCCCCCTTTTCTAGTATTAAGTCTGAGGTTCAGGCAGGTGCTGCCTTGCCAGTTGCAGCGTGTGGAGGTTAGTCTGAGTCCTCCCTCCTTCCCTTCCCGCCTCCCCCCCCAGCAGGCTGATTGCTGAGGTTAAAAAACATTGGCTGCATCACAGCATGATTAATTGTTTATTTCATTAAATGATTAACGAGGCTACATTGTTTCTCAAATGGGTGTCTAATTTGTGGGGGAAACAGCTGCAGAGGAGGAAGCTGGGTCTGACTCTTGCCTCTAGGGTGGGGGTGGCTCTAAGTTCCCCTCCCCAGTCTGCAAGGGCCTTTGAGGATCAAGGAAGAGCCCCATTCCTTCCTCTCATCCACTGGGCTCCCCAGCCCAGAGGCACAGCCTCCTCCCCAGAAAAAAAAAAAAAGATCTGTAGCCCAAACCTGAAGAGGGGACCAAAATCCATTCTGGGTGGTATTGGAAATGTATTAAACTTTGGGGGCTCCTCCAACTGATTTATCTTCCTAATTATGTTTGCTTTAGGCAGATATTGAAATGTGTTTGCATTCCCTGAGCGCAAATGGCAGGGGAGGGAGGCTGGGGAAAAGCGCCGATACAAACACTCTGCACTTTGGCAGCTGCAGGCTTCAGCCTGCTTTGTACTTGAGCAATTCAAAGTGGAGAAGGATCCAGCCAAAAATCCCAAGTTGATTTTTATGCCGGGTCCCTGAGAGGGAAGGGTCCAGTCCTCTAGAACAGACAGTGACCCACCTAGCTAGGCCTAAGAACCCCAGCTATCTCCAGCACCCTCAGCCCAGGACTTGGGGTCCTTGAGGAGGTTCTTAAAGTCAGCCCCTAACCAGGTCTTGGTTGACAGGGTAGGATGTCCAGTGCCCTTGAAATTATCCTAGAATCCTTGAAATTGGCCAAGATGAATTAGAATAGGGGTCCATCAGAAGGGTTCGCTGAGCCAGGTTTTAGAATAGGGGTCCAACAGGAGGGTCCGCTGAGCCAGGGAATGGGTAGGGATTTCCTTTTGAAAGTCTGGGGCCTAGCATCAGGAAAGGGGAACTCTTTTATGTGCTGTACCTCAGAGCCCAAACCACTAACCCTCACCGTATCATCCAGATAACCATCTATCCAAAAAACAAGTCTGATCACTCTCTGTTTGAAATCCATGGTGGCTGCTCACCTCCTCAGAATGAAGTCCTGGTTCCCTTGGCTGTGAAGCCACCTCATGTACCTTTCCAGGCTTGTCTTTTGCTCTTGCTGTCATGGGAACCCCACCATGCCGTGCTCATTCTCTTCTCCACATTTGCACCTGCTGTTCCCTCTGCCCAGAGTCTTTCTAACCTTCCCCATCTGGCAAACTCTTCAACCCTCAGGACCTGGCTTAAGAGAAGGACCTCCTGCAGCAACCAGTTCTTTTACAAACATCCTTTCTCCCTTTGCCAAGGCACTTTCACACCTAAGGTTCCTCTCCTCCCCACTGGGCTGGTCTGTGGAAGCTCAGAGACTGGTTCTTTCAGGCTTCCAAGCCCCTGTGTGACCCATAATGGTGCCATGTGCATTTGCTAAATGCCTAGGGCAGAATGGGCTGTGAATTAAGGTAGGATCCCTGCAGAAGGGAAGGGAAGATCTGTGTTCTCTCCCAATGTGTCTGGAAGAATTGGCTGGGGTTAAGACTGGGGGAGAAGGGGAGGGTCAAGTATAGTTCCTGGAGGAGAATGTCACCAAAAAGAGGCCAGTGGGATCAGAGCCAAGGAAGGAATACAGGACAATCTGAAACCAGACTCCTGAGAAAACAGACCAGCACTGTCCTTCCTGACAACAACTATTTTTGCCATACCCTCCACTGGTTTTCATTCTCTAGTGGATAGCAGGGGTGACCCTAAATTCATAGCTGATGCTCCCCTATAAACATCAAGGAGCTCAGGATGGAATGTAGAAAGTCCCTGTCTTTAGGGAGATCCCAGAATCAAATGAGTGACTTTTGGAGAAACTTTATGCAGGGTCAACTTATGTAACACAGAGGCTCTTGATGCCTTCCTACCCTGTGACCCCGATCAATAGGTATCAATAGGCTCAAAGCCATGGGTGGAGATGGTGAGCAAGGGGCCTGCACCACTTTTGCAGGACCCCTCCCATGCTAGTGGCAGCCCCAACTGGGCTGGGTAATGCTAAGTGATTGCACATCAGTCCACTCCAAAACCCCTAATGGCCTGAGGATTGTCTGCCTCATTAACTGGAATGAAGAGTCCCAAGATATCTCGTCCCCTGACCTCTGGCTCCTAAAAGGACAGGTGTGATTCAACTCATGGCCTTTTTCTTGCTCCACCTGTGGGCATGGACAGGAAAGTCCCTCGCAGTGATTAACCTTCCCTCCTTGCTGCTAGAGACTAGATTGTTTTTTTGAGAAAGCAACAAAACTAAAGCCACAGCCGTTTTCCATGGACATGGGCTTTATTTGGGACTGTTGGGGGAAGGGAAGTGGAAAGCTAGGATTGGTGGGCTGATGGGGAAGGAGCTTCTCCTTGCTTTAAAATGTAGTGTGTGTTGCCTGGAGGTTAGAATGTGTGAGAACAGCTGTAGAAGTGAGAGGAGAGAAAAAAAGATCATAAAATGGACACTTTCCTTAGGGAAGGAAGCCAGGACTAGGATTTAAGGACCAGGGGTGGAAAGGGAAGGTACCCTTTATATAGGGACTCAACCAAAGTCATTGCTTGATGCCATCTTCCCTAATGCCCACATGCCCTATCCCAGTTCATGCCCCAGATGCCCACCCTGTTAGCTCCCTCAACTTCCAGAGGAGAGGAAGGGGGATGAGGATGTGGGGAATGGTAACACCCTCTGCCCTCCAGCTCTCCTGGCCAGGAAAACTTCTCATTCTAACTGCCCTGACCTCCTAGCCAGGGTCAGGAGGTCAGGAAGTCCAGATGCAGGCGGGGGGAACAATTGTGCCCCTCACCACCCCTCCTCACACTCCCCACCGCAGCCCCTCACATGAGGTTGCAGCTCTTGGCACGATCCTTGTGTATCTCGCCCTCATTCCCCCGGTCTGGCCGTCCTGACAGCTGAGTGGACCGCTGAAGTCCCCGGCGTGAGTCAGTACGGCGCAGCTGCCTATGGCCACGGCCAAGGGAGGCCACTGTGGCCACATGAAAGACATCCCTGACGCTGCGCTCAGAGGACCTAGAGGAGCATTCAACATAGGACACGGCCCCCACCTGCTTGGCCAGCACAGTGCCCTGGAAAAGAAGAGCATAAAAGAAAGTTATAGGGCTTATACTGCTGCTCAGCAAAGGGCATGGATGCTGTGGGCTGAGGTTGAAGGTCAGTGTTTGGGGAAGGCCAAGGGTCAGAGGTCAGAGGACAGGGTAAAATGAGGAGCCAGGTAGGGCGTTTTCAAATCAGAGGCAGAGAAGGGCAGAGTTGAGAGGTCTAGGTTAGGATTAGGTTAGAGGTCAAGGTCCCACCTGCTCATGTGTAACAGGGATAAGTCTCTGCTTGGACAGCTCCCTCAGTGTGGCCAGGTCCGTCCGCATGTCCAGTTTACAGCCAACCAGCACAACCTTGGCATTGGGGCAAAACTCCTGAGTCTCACCCTGCCACTATTTGGGAGAAGAAAATAGTTATGGAGGGATAAAGGGAGGCACAGGGAAAATTCCTGCTCCACACCAGGAGGATGCCCTTCCTTCCTCATAGCATGCAGAAACCAGGTATCCTTCTGCATTCTCCCATGTGAGAAAGGATCTGGGAATGTTGGGCTTGGGTTGACAGCACAATGGGGTTCAGAGAAGGAGATAATGAAGAGAGCTGCAATGGAGCTGTGGGAATGGGGCCCTCCTCTGCCCTTAAGGGCTAGGAAGGGTCTGCCAGCCTGGAATCTTCCCATTCCTACTCCCCTTTCCCATACTTTCTCTTGTGAACATACAAACCCCACCCTCCCTTGACTGGAAACTGGTGCTGCTAGCTGATTTTAGTCCATTCACCATGGGCTTTTCTCATGGAAATAGGGGCCTGAAGAGGAGGCCTCAGGGCTATCCTGAGCTCCAGGATCAACATTCTCATTCCCTTCATCTGGGGCTCCCAAACCAAGAAGAAGGGGAGAGCTGGTAGGGAATCCCTGAATACTTCTCTCTACTCTCCCCATATCCTCCAGCTATTGTTTTCAGCTGTGAAGGGGCGGGATAGGAGGAATGAGGGGAGAGTTGGGGTGGAGGGGAGCTTCACCCACTATCCAGCTTATAACCAAGCCCCAGCCATCACTTCTTCCTCAGGACCATACTGTCCAGTCCCCTCAGTCTAGCTGCCCTGCTTCCCCAGTCTCCCACCTTCTTAAGGACACTGTCCAGTGTTTCTGGCCGGCTAATGTCAAAGCAGATGAGCACAGCATCGGAATCAGGATAGGCCAGAGGTCGCACGTTATCATAGTAAGAGGAACCTGAGGGAAGACAGTGAAGGGACAGACAAGGGTCCTGAGTGAGTGGCAGGCCTAGGAGGGAATAGTAGACTTAAGAAATCTTGGTTAAGGGATTCTGGGAGCAGAGAATGGAAAAGAGCAATCATTAATACACATCACAGAATTCTGGTATTATTCCAAGGAGAGGAGCAGGCAGAGGGGAAGTGAAATGGTGGGAAACATCTCTCTGGGTTTCCCTAAGAGTAATAATTCTCTACTCCCCCCATCCCCAAATACTGGGGACTGAACCCAAGAGTGCTCTACTACAGAGCTTGATCCCCAGCCTTTTTTTTTTTTTAATACTCATCTTCTAGTTGTAATTGGACACAACACCTCCACATTATTTATCTGTCCCTATGTGTTGCTGAGGATTGAACCCAGGGCCTGCATGCCCTTGGCGAGTGCTCCACTGCTGAGCCACAACCCCAGCTCCCTAGCCTCTTTTATTTTGAGACAGGGTCTCAGTTACCAAGGCTGACCTCAAATTTGTTATCTTCCTGCCTCAAGTTCCTGAGTAGTTGGATTATAGGCATATGCCATTGCACCCATCTAACAGTAATAATTCTTAATCTTTTTGAGTTTCAGACCCCTTTGAGAAGCTCAGGAAATCTATCAACATTCTCACAAAATTCTGACTCTACTTTCTGAGCTTGTTTTGACAGACTCCCCTCCCCGCCCAGTGGAACCCAGGGTCTTCCACATGCTAGGCAAGTGCTCTACAACTGAGCTATACCCCCAACCCTTGACAAACATCTTCTAAAGCCTTAAAATAAAAACCCTCCTCATTTTGGGGGGAAGGAGCAGGGGTAGGGAAAGAGCTCTCCCATCCTCTTGGGAATGGATCTCAGATTTCTTTAGTTCAGCTCAGAGAAATCACTCTCCTTTACCCCAAGAAGGAATTCTAAGTATATCTCCTATACTCAGTTCCTAAAAACACTTGTTCCAAAATAAAAGCCATTCCTTCCCAACTTTCCTAGGTAGGCAGAACATAGCTGAGGGGCTTTCTCCTTCAGGACATGGTTTCTATTAGGCTGAGTGTGCTCTGCCTCAGTTTCCCTGGCTTTAAGCAGATATTTGATATTCTTTTCTCCTAGAATTGGATGGATGGGCTAGGATGACCTGGAATCTAAGGTTTACTCAAGGGAGAGGTCAGGCTGGGGGCCTCAGAAGTCAGGGTGACCCCGAGGGACTTGGCTACCTGAAGTATCCCACATGTTGAGCTCAATGCGGCGTTTGTCGATCTCAAAGCTCGCAGTGTAGTTCTCAAACACAGTGGGGACATAACTCTGCAGATACAGATGGGTCAAGATGAAATCCTTTCTCCAGTTCTCACAAATGCCCTCCTTCCTCCCATACCGGGTCCAGCCCAGTCCCTGGACAGAAGTTGGTCTGGGGTTGGGCAAAGGGGAGATCTCGGGAGCTGCTGCCTCCACGGAATTTCTGCTAGGCTTCCAGACCCCTTCCTGATCCCTTCAGCCTTTAGTTCTCTCCCTCTCAGATGCCCAGAATCTCCGACATTACCCCCTGCGCGCCCTCCCGGATCCTCTGGTTCTCCCAAATCCCATCCATCTCGCTATGATCCCTAATTCCTTCCACCCCAATCCTCTGCAGTCCTTTCAGAGCCCCCAACGTCTCTTCCCCCTCTCCAAGCCCCTCTCTCTTGTCCCTGGTTACCTTGGCACCCGTTTCCATCCGTCCCCGGGGCCCCTGTCACCCATCCCCGGTCCCCTCTCAAAAAGCGGATTCCTCACCCCGGGGTAGGCGTCCTTGGCGAACACCTGCAGCAGCGCCGTCTTGCCGCACTCTGCATCCCCCACCACCACGATCTTGCAGCGGCCGCTCTGCCCCTCCATAGTCCCGGCTACGCGCCGGCCCCCCACGCCGCCCCCCTCTTGGGCCCCGCCGCCTCCTCTACCGCCACCTCCCTCGCCGCTGCAGCTGCAGCCGCTCGGGCCGCCGACACCGGCATCTCGCGGGCCCGCGCGGAGCCCCCGCCCGGGGCTGCGGCCCCCTCCGCCCCGCCCCTAGCCTGGGGGCCGCGCCCCCAGCCCCGCCTCCCGCCCTCGCAGCCGAGGGGCGGGGCCCAGAGGACCTGGGAGGAGCCTGGGGAACCCGGGTCCTTGAGCGGGGTTCTAGGTCCCTGGTGCAGTCTAAGAGGCTCCTGAGGGTTTGGGGCTAGCCGAGACCCCGCTTATTTGAAGTCCTTGGGAGTGGGGGCAGGGCGGAGTTCGAGCGAAGTTCTGAGGGGTAGGGTGTGAGCGTCACATTCACGAGGCTGGGACCCACGCGTGCACGCAGGTGTGCCAGTGCGGATACGCGCGGTGGCAGCCATCCACTTCCTGAACACAGGGGGCGCGAGATGACTGGGAAAGGAAAAAGTCTTTGGTTTCTTCTCCCTCCTCCACTCTTGTGTCCTGGCGGGGGATTTGGGGAAAATGGGAATATAGACTCCTACACACCCACTCGGTGGCGGGTGACATCATAGCTTTCCGTCCCCATGGCGACGGGTGGCCGGGTCTGGGGCTGTAGTGACTTAACCGCGGGCCTGGACTAACAGGGAAACGTGGACTGAGTTCCTTAAACCAAGTGCTGAGTGAAAGTTTTGGGGAAGCTGCGTCCCCTGGTGGATGCTTGGGGAGAAGGAGAAAGGGAAGAAAAAGATGATGATGAACTAATTACTGACTGGAGCCAGAGCCAAGCCCAAAAGTCAATTCAGGCTTGACTTAGATTCTAACAGTAATCAAACCCATGTTTGCATCTGCATGTCATCGTTTATCTTTTAAAAATGCTTCTTTAAATCGGAGACACTAGATTTATTTTTGCTTGTTGTAAATAACCCTATAAATATAACTACAGCACCAGCACCAGCACCACTTTACAGGAGGCAAAATGAGGCACAAAGCGTTAATAAAGTCAGAAAGATTTAAAAGTTCGGTCTCCATGCTTTTAGTTTGCCACTGTAAGGCCACAGTGAATGAAGCCTGATTCTTTGCAGGGTTACTGATGGATAGAATCAGAGCTTGAGGTACAACCTGATTGGGTTCTGGTCCACAAGTGGCTGGTTCCCCAAATCTGATGTAAACTCAAACTTTGGGACTGTCCTTCAGAATGCTTCTTAACATAGCTTTAAGTTTTCATAAGGTTTATTGTGAATAAGTAAGTTAAACACAATTTATTCATGTTATAAGAATGTCCTCATGTGTATCAGTGGTCCTATGCGACTGAACCCCTTTTTCCCGCTCTGGAAGCTCGCACTGCAGAGGCCTTGGCCCTTTAAGTCTGAACGCTAGGCCCCGCCCCAGACCCGGCGCCCCACCCGGCTGGTTGGAATCCGCAGCCGCGGCACATCCCGACCTGCGCCCCGCCCTCCCCAGCTGTGCACCCTCAGTCCAGCTGTGCTCGCTCGTCGGGAGTCCAGCCATGTCCGCCGAGAGAGAGGTAGCCGAAGCGGCCACTGTGGTGGTGGCGGCGGCCGAGGAAGGGGCCAAGGAAGATGTTTCTTCGCAGCCCCCGAAAGCTGAGGCAACTAGCGACCCGCAGCCGCCCGCGGCCTCTGAAGGAGCGGCCGCCGCCTCTCCGCTGCCGCCGCTGCGCTGCCTGGTGCTCTCTGGCTTCGGCGGCTATGACAAGGTGAAACTGCAGAGCCGGCCGGCCGTGCCCCCAGCTCCCGGGCCCGGTCAGCTGACGTTGCGCGTCCGGGCCTGCGGGCTCAACTTTGCAGATCTCATGGCCCGGCAGGGGCTGTACGACCGGCTGCCACCGCTGCCCGTCACTCCCGGCATGGAGGGTGCGGGCGTTGTGATCGCCGTGGGCGAGGGAGTCAACGACCGCAAGGTGAGCGGGCCAGTGCAGGGTAGGTAGGGACTGCGCAGGCCGCGGGGCAGTGGGGCACGAGTGGGCGGGCGCCGGGGGTGTGGCAGGGCGGGGGAAACTGGCACGGATCTGGGTAGACAGACATGGAAGACGTAGGGAAAAAAAAAAAAAACTTATGTTTTGAGGATCTTGGAGAAAGGAAATTTGTTTGTCGAGGGGACAGTTAGCGTTCCTTCCCCAGCCATTTTTAGTTGCTATACCCGCCTAGTGGGGTTAGGTGGGGTGTGTGTGTGTGTGCGGGGGGGGGGGGGGGGGAGACAATAAGGCGCTCATGCGCATGCGCACTATGCCCGCTGACTCCCCACCCCATCCACACTTACACACTAAAACCACACCTGTCTGTACCCCTGCCCACCAAATACTCCCTGGGTAATTGTGGTCTGTGACCCTAAGTGACGGTTAGCGTCCTCTTTTCCGGAGGGAGCTTGAGGAGCTGGGTAGTCGAGGTTGGGCGGGGGTGCAGTGGCCTTGCCAGAGCCCTAGTCACATGCAGCCCCGTGGTCTGTGGGGGTGTGAGGCGGCCCCTCCCTGCGCGGGGCCATGGAGGAGGACACGCCCTTCATGGAGGAGTGGGAGCCGTGCTGCCCCACCGCCAGCAGCCTTACACTACCCGACTGGTGTTGGGTGGAGGAAGTGGGATTGGGTCTCCTAATCTTTGTCTGGAGCTCTCTGTCTCCCGTGACTGCAATATCTTCTCCTCTGACTCAGCCGGCCGGCTACAACCCTGAGATGCCTTAGGGAGCTTCCAAGCAGAAACGCTTCTGCCTTCCTTGGGGACCCCCACCTCAGAAAGCCCCCAGTGGGAACCATTTGGGGCAAAGTGGGGAGGTGTGGCACCGTGAGCAGGTTGGCCCAGCTCTGCCGGTCGTTTTTCCTTCTCATTTGTCATTAATCTTGGCCACAACCCCGGACTCTAGAGACTTCCATATGAGCAACTTTTTGAAAAACCTGGGGGGACACATCATGTGTTTAGGGGTTTCTTTTCAAATCTTGTGTGAGGAGCGGATGCACTCTTCCTATTATCTGACCTAGATTTGTTGAGGTTATTGTACATAAGCCCTTAAAGATTTCTCCCTAAATTCAGCTGTGGCCCCACCCTCACCCTGACTTCTAAATAATCCCACCCCTGAGAAAATGCTAAGAGGAATTTGGGGAGGGGGAATTGTCATTCACGTTACTGCTAAAGGCCACACACCTATTCTCCCGTCCCCACCCACTTTCCGCCTGATAAATACAGGATTTCCTGACCAGGGAAGAATCTGATGTAAGAGCCTGGATTCTGTGGGGAGGGCCCTATCTCCCTCCTGTGGTCTGGGCTGGGAGGGTTAAGTCCCTGACCTGTGATGGGCTGAGGGTGAGCCATGAGCCAGGCTAGAGACTTGTTCTGGGCCAAATCTGGGACTGGCCACCACCCCGAATGGCTGCACTGTTTGCAGCTCTCCTAGGACTTGTTAGACCTGAGTCCTGGGATGGAGGGCTTTGTTCCCCAGACCTCAGGCCACAACTGTGGAGAAAGATCCCAGTCTTCTCTTAGTTCTCCTCTTCAGTGGAGTATAGGATCTTGAAGATGTGAAAAAGGGCTTGTGGCCATGGTGTATTCCTGTAATCCCAGACATACAGGAGGCTGAGGCAGGAGGATCACAAATTTGAGACCAACTGGGCAACTCAACAAGACCTTGTCTCAAAACAAAAAATAAAAAGGACTATGATGTAGGTCAGTGGTAGAGCGTCCCTGGGTTCATTCCTCAATACCACAAAAATTAAAATTAAATTAAAAAAAAAAAAGGAGTGTGTAGGAGTCCCACTTCCTTTCCCTGTAGATCCTAAGTCTTGTTAATATAGATTCCCATCATTCCTGGCAAGAACTAAGAGAGACCTGGATTGTCCTGGAACAATACCCATACCTCCCTCTCCATACTCTTTAGAGAGCCAGGAGAGGCTCTTTCTTTCACCTGAGGACTACCCCCTCCTCCTTGCCCTTCCCTTGCCCTGGTTGGTAAGCTAGAAGGATTGTTATCTTTGTCCCCTTTTCCTCCTGCAAAGAGGCTCCTGTGCAAGTGGCTGAGAATGAGAGAAAACACCTTTTCCTAGTGCAGGGGATGGTGTGTCATTCCTTATGCATTGCCCCTCCCACATGATCTCTGGGTGAAGGTGTTTTCTGAGCCCGTAATACTGGCTCAAATACAACTTTTGATGGATCACGCCCAGCCCTAACCACTCAGAGACATTTACCTGTGCTTTGGCAAGGTCCTTACCACATGCTGCCCTCTTCCTTCAGTTATTTGTGTGACTTCCTCTTCTGCTATTATTGTTATCATTGTTATTACCTAACATTACCAAGTGCTTACAATGTGCTAGACATTGTGTTAAAAGTCCCTGAGTTTTTTCATTTAATTCTCATCATTCCCCTACTTTACAGATAAGAAAAACTGGTTAAATACTTTTATTTGCCCAAGGACACATTGCCAGTAAACAGTGAAACTCATTTTTATAACCAAAAACAGTTTGATCTCTTCAATAATACTCATGCTGCCCTAACTGTAATCTTCTTGCATTCAGAGTTCTTACACAATAATTAAGTGCATGATCTGTAAAATGGAGATAAGGATAGTATCTACCTCAGAGTTGATGTAGGGATTATTTGGGTGCTTATATATAAAGCACAGGGCATAGGGCCTAGAGCCCTCAGTAAGCACTCAGTGAAGGGTAGTGCTTATTGTTGTTGTTGATAATGTTGTTATTATTACAATGACTTCTATTGCTGTTTTTACTGCTATTTCTTTTTTTTAATATTTATTTTTTTAGATGTAGATAGACACAACACAATGCCTTTATTTTTATGTGGTGCTGAGGATGGAACCTGGGTCCCACCCGTACTAGGCGAGTGCTCTACCGCTGAGCCACAATCCCAGCCCCTTTACTGCTATTTCATCTCAAAGAAGATGGCTGGGCACATAGTGGAAAGTCAGTAAATCACCTTAGGTGAATTAATTGACTGAATGCTGCTATTCTCCCATTCTTCAAGGCAGGGGATCGGGTGATGGTGCTGAACCGGTCAGGGATGTGGCAAGAGGAGGTGACTGTGCCCTCAGCCCAAACCTTCCTGATGCCTGAGGCCATGACCTTTGAGGAAGCAGCTGCCTTGCTGGTCAATTACATCACAGCCTACATGGTCCTCTTTGACTTCGGCAATTTGAGGCCTGGCAACAGCGTCTTGGTACACATGGCTGCAGGTGACAGGTCCTTTCTGTTTTCCCCTTTCCTTTCCAGATTTTCCTTCCAGGCTCTTCTAAAGCCTGTCTGGTTTGTTGTCATGGTAACACCAGGCTGCCTTGGCCTGTGGCACCTAGAGGCCTCTGCAGTATAGTTGCCATGGTAACATTCAGGCACCAGGTCCAGCCTAGTGTCCTTAGCAACATGCCCTCACTCCATACCTTCTCTTCTCCAGTGATCCTCCCTCAATTCTTAATTATGTAAATTGGACATGGGCCCCAAAGTGAATCTAGGCACAATAAAATTGATGGACTGACTGGGTCCTTGGGAGACTAGTATGAAGAATAGTGACTAGGTGACTCCATATCCGCTTCTTCTGGATGTTTTTTTTTTTTTTGTCAATGAACCTTTATTTATTTATTTTTTTATCTATCTACCTACCTGTTTATTTACATGGGGGTGCTAAGAATTGAACCTAGTGCCTTACCCATGCTAGTGGTACTCTACCACTGAGCTATAACCCCAGACCTTTTCTGGGTATCTTGCTGCAGGTGGTGTGGGTATGGCAGCTGTGCAGCTGTGTCGTACAGTGGAGAATGTGACAGTGTTCGGAACAGCCTCAGCCAGCAAGCATAAGGTGCTGAAGGAGAATGGGGTCACACATCCCATCGACTACCACACAACTGACTATGTGGATGAGATCAAGAAGATCTCCCCCAAAGGTAGGGGGTCAGGGTATGGGAGTGGGTAGGATGTCACAAGACCGGAAGAAGGTCTTTAGATCTATGGATCCTAATGTTGTTCCTGGGTCCCCTACTTTGTGACAGGAGTGGACATCGTCATGGACTCTTTGGGCGGGTCAGATACTGCCAAGGGCTACAACCTCCTCAAACCCATGGGCAAAGTTGTCACCTATGGTGAGTTCTTGAGCCAGAGATGGAGAGGATGTTAGGGGCAGGAGGGTGGGGTAGGTCTGATTAGTGGGAAACTGAGATATAAGAGCCTGTGGCTTTTGAATGAAGAAGGTGCAGAGACTTGGGGGCTCTACAGAGAGGATCAGGGTTACACTCAGGTTGCTGCCTGCTGGGTGCCAGCTACTTTCATTCTCTTTTGTAACTTTTCCTGTGAGTCATAGTAAATCATTGTGTTCTCTCTGTGCTCCTGTCTGGGGACAATTCCTGATACAGAACCAACCAGTCTGCTTTCCTTCTGACTTCCCCTGCTGGGCTTCTTAGGCAAGCTAGATTTTCATTTTAAAAAACTACTCCACACAAAAAGTTTAGGATCAGGAATGCAGCTCAGTTGTAGAACACTGGCCTAGCATGCATGGGACCCTGGATTTGATCCCAGCACTGAAAAAAAAGGAAATAAAGATTAGATTCTGAGTGAGCCTGAGAGGATTTGGGCCAAGTAAGCAGAAGTAAGGAATCATCCTGCACTCCGTGGCAATGGTATGGAGAATTGCAAGGAAATACAGGGGTACATGAGCATGGATTCATACATTCAGGCATGTACTTGGCACCTGGATCACAGGCCCTATCACCCCACCCCTCAGGAATGGCCAACCTGCTGACGGGCCCCAAGCGGAACCTGATGGCCCTAGCCCGCACATGGTGGAATCAGTTCAGTGTGACAGCTCTGCAGCTGCTACAGGCCAACCGGGCTGTGTGTGGCTTTCACCTGGGCTACCTGGAGGGTGAGGTAGAGCTGGTCAGTAATGTGGTGGCCCGCCTTCTGGCTTTGTACAACCAGGGTCGCATCAAACCTCACATTGATTCCGTCTGGCCCTTTGAGAAGGTGAGTGTGGTGACCTTTCAGGGTGGCAGGACCTAAGTAGGCCTTGTGAAGGGTGTGGTCTCAAGGGAAGAGGGAGGGAAACAACTCCTTTGGGCTGCCTTTTGTGGGACGGGGACCAGATGGGATCAGAGTCTTCTCTTCCCTTCCAGGTGACTGATGCTATGAAGCAGATGCAGGAGAAAAAGAATGTGGGCAAGGTCCTCCTGGTTCCTGGGCCAGAGAAGGAGAACTAGGACAAGGGACTGAGGACCCTTGAGGCCTGGAAAGGGAAGGGAAAGTTGGGAAGCCCCATTTCTGATGACCACCAGACTCTCACATTTCATCCTCTTATCATAATGCTCTTCCCTCCCTCTCTCCCCAAAGGTCTCTGTGGTGATGAACACTTCCGGGCCCTGTTCTTTCTCTTTGGTCAGGGCTGCTCCCTCCCCCTTCCTGCCCTCAAAGAGGTTGGGAAGTGACCACTTGGATGTTTGGGCCCTGCCAAGGGGACAGGGAGGGTCAGAAGGAGGCTGATGGCTTCCTGCCCCCACCCTTTCCCGGGCCTGCTGTGCTGCTTTTGTGCCAAGGTTAGCTAATCCCTCCCCATCCTGTTGTATGTGCTTCCGCTTCTGCCTCATCTTCTCTCCCACCCCTGCCCCACCACCTCCCCAAAGAATTGAAATGTCAGCTCAGGATACGGGGCCAATCTGTGTGAGCCCAGCATGTACCTGTCTCTCCCTAATGTCCCTTCAGCCCAGGGCCGACCAGCGCCCACCTTTGGGCTTGATCAGTTCCCAACTTTGTCGTCTGTCCCCAATTTATTAAGCACAGTTGGATTACTTCCACTTCCAGGTTTTCTGCCATCCTTAACCAAGGCCGCCTCTTACAACAAGGACAGGAAACAGACCCATGTCCCAGGTCACAACTCTGGGAGGGAGGCAGAGCACCCCTACCCTTCACTGAGGTCTCTGGATTTGTTCTCAGTGCCTTAGCATCGGAAAACCTGTGCTTGTGTGTGTTTATTTGAGGGGGGAGATCCCTGTCTCTGGCTTCCTCCTTCCTGTCCTCCCCAGTGCCTTCCTTATTCTGGTGGAGATGGGGTTTTACTTCTCCCCAATCCTACAACACTGCCAAAAATCTGTGTATGTGCCAGTGGGTGGGGGGCCAGCCATTAGCATCTTGGGGTCAGGGCAAAAAGTAGTTGCCTTCAACGTGGTCTGTGCCATGTCCTGTCTTTTATCAGACCTGGAGGAGAACAAGATGAGAAGCTTTAACAGGCTGATCTGGGAGATGCAATGTTATGTCTTGTTCTGGGACCAAAGTGAAAATCAAAGCACATTCCCTTTGTAGTCAAGGAGGCCTCACCACCTTCTCCCAGAGGGAGGCAGCTTTTCAGCTCAGCCCCAAACTTTGTTTACATGGTGGGGAGATAGAGCAGGAAAATAAAGGGGGGTGGTAAAGGATCTGTACCATGGGAACCAAAGTGGGGACTTCCTAGGGAGGAGAATAACTCCCTCTGCTGAGTTGGCATTAGGGAGGATTATTGCCCCAGCCATTGCTAATGGGAGGTGGGGGGTGGGGGGATTCAGCCTCTTCCTTGTCTAAATGAGGCCTACATGTGGGAAGTGCGATTTCTGCTTTTGTGTACCCCACCCCATTACCGCAGCTGCCTTTGTGTTTGTGTCAATAAAAAGCCAAACCCTGGGTCCTTGATGTTGCCTTAGAGTGGAGGGGAAAGTGAACTCCTGGAAGGCCAGTGCTGATGGCAGGAAGTCAGGGTTCTTCCCTGTCCCAGTCTCCCTTCCATACCCAAATCAAGTTTCCTTTTATGAATGAAATGAGGAAGGACATCATGCCAAGTAGGCACTTTTACTCTTCCCTGGCAGCGGTTCACAATGTGTAATCCCTTCCCCCGTCAGTAAACGTAAAGATCTATGCTTACCCAACCGCAGCTGGTTGGAGAACCTAGACTGACTCAGAGGTGAAGACTGCCAGGCCCTGCTTTCCTGGGGGCACAACTGCCAGGGCTTCCACCTCCCCACCCCCTCGAGTGGGCTTCTGGAAGTGAATCTCTAAGATGTCATGCATCTCTGGGCCATCGAGGACATCGGGAATGTTGAGTACCAGCACTGAGCGGAGAACTGTCTGGGATCTGATCTGAAAAATAAGCCAGGAGATGGTAAAGACTCATCAAGAGATTGGGGCAGCAGATGCCCTGTGAGGATATGGAAGGGTCGGGATGGTGGTGGGTAAGGTAGGTAGGGTTTAGAGGCCCTGATCCTTGGGCAGGTTTCTGGCAGATAGACAGGTCTAAATCCCCATCATCCACCCTCCCACTTACCTCAGCCTTCTGGATCTCCCCACTCACATAGGGAAAGACTCTCAGAGGAACCTCCTGCCTTCCCAATGGCACTCTGAATTGGCCAATCCGGCACAGGTTCTGGGCCACTGTGGGGAACAAGGAAGGGTAGACATTTACCCTCAAGCCCTCTCCTCTCCTGTGACCTCATGCACAATGAAATCTAATCTCCCTGCAGTAGGCCGTTACCTTCTTCCTTAGCAAAACCCAACACAACACTTCCTTGCAGCAGTTCCCGAGTCTCCACGTCCCCACCCCCATTCCTGGCTTTGCCAAAGAAGATCTCCAGCTTGTCCAGTAGCTCCTCCTCACTCAGCCTGAGTTCAGCAGGAAATCCACTAACCAATACCCTCTGGTCATTCCTCTGGCTGGACACCTAGGAAGAGACAGGCAGGAGTGATCCCAGACTCAATCTATTTCTCGAAGCCCAGGTACAGCACACCCTTTCCATATCCCAGGACCTTATCATTCTGTTACCTGGATAGTGGTCACCATGGGTAGCTCCAAGGGTTGGACCTGTACCCGCAGCCAGCACTCCTCCATGTCAATCTTATGTTCCTTTTGTTGAAGCACTTGATCAGCAACTGGATAGCAGGAAGAACATGGTCAGTACTGGGAAACCTCCCAGCCTCCCTCCTGAGATTCACCCCAAGCTCACCTTTGGGGTCATCGAAAATGACCAGAGCAGACCCTCCAGGCAGAGGGCAGCAGATCCGAAGATTGGAAACTAAAGACTTGGTCACTGGTCTGCCCTGCTTAGTGTGTCCTCGGAACACTAAGGGGAATTCTGGTACAGGGAATGGAATCTGGAGGTACAGAAAGGGAGGCTGATAGACTCTGAAAGGGTTAGAGAGGTCCCTAATCCCTCCTGAGTAGATGGTGCCCCCAATTCAGTTTGATTGACAGAGCTGAATACATTTACTGAAAGAAGAGCTGGATTGATGAATGGATAACATAGCTCAGTCCCATAATGGGCACTTTATATATAAGATTTTAGTTTGTTCTCATACAAAGCTGAGAGGTAGTTCTACTTTACAGATGAGAAAACTGTGGCTCAGAGAGTTAAAGTAACACATTGAGGTCACACAGCAAGGAAGTGGCAGGGCCCAAAGTAAAGAACTCCCCAGCTCTTTTCCAGCAGACTGCACGTCATCTTCCTGCTTACCTTGTCTTTGGGAGAATTCCTGAGCTCCCTTTTTAGCTGCTGCAACTCCTGCAGTCTCATCTTTAGTCTGACCTGCTCCTCCTGAAGGGTGCAGAGGGTCTATTGGAACACAAGGGAACAAGCAACTAGTCACCTGCCTTTCCAGAGAACAAGCAAGCCCAGGGGAAGAGTGTCCTTTTCTGGACTCCCCAGAAGCAGACATGATGATTGGCCTCAGAACAACCCAAACCCTTTACCTTGCCCTGGGCTGGTCCTGGCACACTCCACCTGGGGATGGCTAGCCTCAGCTGCTCTAGGAAGGGCTGGAGCATTGCAGCAGCCATGGCTGGTTTGTTACCGCAGATCTAGAGCTTAAAAAACACTCATCAAGCTCCCGCTATGAGACAGTGAGCCCTAACACAGGGCAGTGGAAATTAAGGGTCCAGCCCTGGGGCCTATACCAAACTACCTAAGATAGTCAATGCACAGTCTCTGATTGTAAAGGTCAGCAGGAGTTTAGAGGAAGTAGTCCAGAGGGATTAACACAGCAAGGGAGGCCTCTAGGAGGAGTGGAGGTCGAGTTGCATAATGCCATAATACTGTTTGCTAACTTGTTTTTTGTGGGGTGGGGTTAGGGATTGAACCCCAGGCCTTGCAAATGCAAGGCACACATCTACCACTGAGTTATACCCCCAGCCTATTTGCTATTATTTACTAAATAACTTACAATATGTTAGGCACTGAGCTAAGGCCTTTTATATGGATTATATCCCTCAATTCTCATGACAGCTCTATATGATAGATACCCTTTTATCCTTATTTTACAAAAAAAAGAAAACCAAAATTGAGGTTAAATGGCTTGCCCAAAGTCATTTGGCCCTAGGCAGGCTGATTCCAGATTCCAACCAGTGCTGTACAGAGAAGAAATCAAGCCCAGAGCTAGCAAGAATTTATATATCTCCTAGCTTATATCTTAACTGCAACTTTTTCCATGTGCCAACCAGCCTTTCAGGCTGATGTGATTTGGAGTAGGTCCAGAGAGACAGCCAACAGCACAGGCAGGGAAATGGCACCAGGGATACAAATAAAATACACCTTTGTTTGTGGGCTGGAGTAGACACTGGCTGGCAGAGTTCACACTGTGGTTAGGAAGGTCAAATTTAACTGTGGTTAAACAAGGTTAGCTCAGAGAAGAGTGAGCTTACTTGGAAAGATGAGACTCTGTCCTGGTCACCTCTGTATCCCCAGTGTCCAGAAAAGTGCCTGACACAAAAGACTTTCACTAAATGTATGTTGAATGAATGCATGATGTGAATGAATGATAGGGTGAGAGCATGTTACCAAAGGCACTGAAAAAATTCAGTGAGTTTATTTTTTTTTAAGCAGAGGAAAACTAGAGCTTGACCAAATTATGCTGATTTATGAATAGTGAAAAAGGTCCCTAGCTGTGGTGGTACATGCCTGTAATCTCAGTTACTCAGGAGGCTGAAGCAGGAGGATTGCAAGTTCAAGGCCAGTTTCAGCAACTTAGCAAAACCCTGTCTCAAAATTAAAAATAAATAAATAAATAAAGGATGAGGGAGGGAGCTCAGTGGCAGACCACTCCTGTGTTCAATCCCCAGTACAAAAAAAAAAAAAGACTCCTTGGAGTCTTGCCTTATTTAGCAGAGGGCAATGAACCAGAAACAATGCCAAGATTTTGGACCTGTGGGTCCCTGAGTTTTGTAGCCAAACAGGCATTATACCAACAGGCAAGGGAAGTGTGTCAGTGGCTATTAAGGACCTAATATGTATCAAGAATAGTCAGACTTATTCATGTATCATAAAACCACCTCCTGGCCTGAGGGTGTAGCTCAGTGGTAGAACCCTTGCCTAGCATGCAGTGAGGCCCTGGATTTGATTCCCCAGCACTGCAAAAATCAAAACATAAATAAATAAAAACAAAACAAGATGTTAAGAGCTTGCCTTTTTTCTTTTTTATGGTACTGATTGAAACTAGAGGTGCTTTATCACTGAGCAACCTACATCCCTAGCCATACCTTTATTTTGAGATGGTCTCTAAATTGCTTAAGGACCTTGCTAAGTTGCTGAGGCTGCCCCTGAACTTGCAATCCTCCTGTTTCAGACTCCTGAGTCTCTGGGATTATAAGCATGCACCACTGTACCCTGATATAAAGGTCCTCTGAGAGACCAGTTTTAAGCTAGGTGTGGTGGCACATACCAGCAATCCCAGCCACTGAGGAGGCTGAGGCAGGAAAATTGCAAGTTAAGGGTGAGGATGTAGCTCAGTGATAAAACACTGTTGGGTTCAATACCTAGGATACCCCTCAGGAAAAAAGTAAAAAGGGCTAGGGCTAGGGCTCAGTGGTAGTATATCCCTGGGTTCAATCTCAGCACTGCAAAACAATAGTTTTAACGGAGGTGGGAGTGAGGTGGGGTGAATCAAGGTTGTCCTTGGGAGCTCCATTTCTGAAAAGAGTATTGATGATAACAAACACATTGAGCATTTGGTATGTGCTATAGTAGGCTAAGTTTTTCCTATATTAATTTATGGGTTATCTAGTCTAATTCTTATCATTTTTTACCAAACTTAATGGTGTAATTCTTTTTTATTTTTAATTACTTGTTTATAGTACTGGGGATTGAACCTTGCATTATGGTAGGTTGTTAGAGGTAATTACTCAAGATAAACTACATTCCTCAGTCCCACCCCTTTTCTTACTGTTTTTATTTATTTATTTTTTGGACTGGGAATTGAAGCCAGTGTGCTTTACCACTGCGCTATTCACCCCTTTTAATTTTTTTTTTTAATATTTAACTTTTTGGGCTGGGGATGTGGCTCAAGCGGTAGCGCGCTCCCCTGGCATGAGTGCGGCCTGGGTTCGATCCTCGGCACCACATACAAACAAAGATGTTGTGTCCGCCAAAAACTAAAATAAATAAATATTAAAAATTCTCTCTTAAAAAAATATTTAATTTTTAGTTGTAGTTGGACACAATGCTTTTATTTTACTTATTTTTATGTGGTGCTGGGGATCGAACCCAGGGCCTCGTGCATGCTAGGCAAGCACTCTACCGTGGAGCCATAGCCCCGGCCCTTAATTTTTTAAAAATTTGTTTATTTTATTTAGTTCTAATCAGTTATACATGACAGCAGAAAGCTCTTCAATTCATTGTACACAATGGAGCACAATTTTTCACTTCTCTGGTTTACATGAAATTGTCACATCATTCAAGCAATCATACATGTACCTAGGGTAATGATGTCCGTCTCATTCTACCATCTTTTCTACCCTCATGCCCCCTCCCTGCTCTTTTTATTTTTTGAGACAGAATCTTGCTAAGTTGCTGAGGACCTTGATAAACTGTCAATGCACAGTTGAATTTGTGATGCTCCTGCCTCAGCCTGCTGAGTAGCTGGAATTACAGGCCATGTGCCATCGCATGCATCTGGCTATAGTACAATTTTTGTAGTATAATTCCTGTAGTTTTTTTTTAAATTATTTTTTAGTTTTAGGTGGACACAATATCTTTATTTTATTTTTATGTGGTACTGAGGATCGAACCCAGTGCCTCATGCATGCTAGGCAAGTATTCTACCACTGAGCCAAAACCCCAACCCCCTATAGTTTATTATTTATTTTTAAGAGAGAGTGAGAGAAAGAGGGAGAATTTTATTTTTTATTTATTTATTTTTTAATATTTATTTATTTATTTTAGTTTTTTTCGGCAAACACAACATCTTTGTTTGTATGTGGTGCTGAGGATCGAACCCGGGCCGCACACATGCCAGGCGAGCATGCTACCGCTTGAGCCACATCCCCAATAGTTTAATTCTTGTAGATAGGTAATCTTTTGAGGAGGTTTAATATAATTCCCATCTCCATCTCTCTTTTTTTTTTGGTACTGGGGATTGAATGCTTTACCACTGAGCTACATCCCTAGCGCTTTTTGTTATTTTTTATTTTGAGTCAGGGTCTCCCTAAGTTGCTAAGGCTGGCTTTAAACTTGTGATCCTTCTATCTCAACCTCCTGAGCCACTGGGATTACAGGTGTGCACCACTATGTTTGGCTCTCATTTCCATCTTATAGGTGAGGAAATGGGATAAGACTGTTTATTTTATTTTGTTTTTGGATTGCTGGGAATGAACCTAGGGCCTTGCACATGCTAAGCAAGTACTCTATCACTGAGCTACATCCCCAGCCCTAGAGTACAAACTTACTACATCTAATGATTTGCTCAGGGTGACACACTTTGAACAAATTAGGATTTAAAATCAACCAGGCTGGCTCCAGAGCCTGTGGTTTTTTGGGGGCAAATGAAAAATTCCCAAGGGAGAAATTTCGTTATGTGGAACAAATAGGGTAGTATCAGGAAAGGCTGAAAAAACAGGAGAGAGGGTGAGATTCACTCATTCATTCAACAGTGTTTATTTGTTTATTTTCGGTATTGGGAACTGAACCCAGGGTCACTTTACCACTGAACTACTTCCCCAGCCCTTTTTATTTTCATTTTTAAAATCAATCAATCAATCAATCTATTTATTTATTTTTGATGGTGCTGGGAATTGAGCTCAGGGCTTGCACTCACTAAGCAAGTACTGTACCACTGAACCACATCCGCAACTCCCTTTTTTTTTGACACAGGGTCCCACTAAATTGGGTAGGGACCTGCTAAATTAAGGAGACTGGCCTTGAATGGCAAGCACTCTACCAACTGAGCTATATCCCTAGGCCAAGGCCTTGAATTTGTGAACCTCCTGCCTCAATTTCCCAAGCTGCTAGGAATACAGAGGCAGGACATCATGCCAGGCTCAACAGTGGTTATTGAGTGTCTAATATATGTTAGGGACTGTACTAATCACTGGCAACCAATGCCAAACAGGGTATGCAGAGACCAGCCCTCACAGAGCTTAGTCTATAAGAGCATCATGAGTCAGAGAAATTTAACTCTCAGAGGGGGAAACACTTACTCCTGACCCTGGAGCAAGCCAGTGGTTAGGCTGGTATGGAAATATAAGTGAGGGGTATTTTGGGGAGGACAGATCTTTGGGAATAGGGCATGACTCATCATAGAAGTTCTTATTTGGGCCATAGGACCCTTTGAGTATCTTTTAAAAATGTATGGATTCTCTAGCGGGGCATAGTGGTTCACATCTGTAATCCCAGCAATTTGGGAAGCTGAGGCAGGAGGATCATAAATTTGAGCCCAGCCTCTACAATTTAACAAGATCACATCTCAAAACAAACAATAAAAAGGGCTGGGGAATGTAACTCAGTGATACAGCGTCCCTGAGTTCATACCAGGAAAAAAAAAAAAAAAGCATGGATTCTCTTCTAAAAAACACACATTCACACAAGAAATTCACAAGATCAAGACTTGCTGGTTGGGAGAGATAATCCCAGCCCAGCCTTGTTTCTTCCAGCCCTTCAGCAGGTCTGAGATGAGCAGGTTCACAAGTTCAAGATCCAGAGAAGAGCTCCTCTGCTCCCCCCACCCCCTTCTTCTCACTTACAGTATTGATGGTCACTGACATTGGTCTGGGGTCCGTTGGGTAAAAGTTGAGGCTTCAGAGCTGGTCACAGAGTGGCAGAGTCCACCACAACAAAATTCTTCTTATATGCTTTGAGGGACTTTGGTCTCCTCCAGCCCTAATGCGCCTGAAACAAACTTGTGAAGGTTCTGCAGGAAGTCTTTTTGCTTCCACTTTCATTTCAGGGAAATCCCAGCCCTCTATCAAAGCTTCTCCACCTCTAGGTGGAGCTTCTTGATGTTGAAAACTTGACTACCCAGTCATGTGCAGTGGGGCATGATTGTGATTCCTGTGGCTTGGAGGCTGAGACAGAAGGATAAGCAAATTCAAGCCCAGCTTTAGCAATTTAGAAGCCCTAAGTAACTTAGTTTGGCCCTGTCTCAAAATAAAAGGGGATGGGGATATAGCTCAGTGCTAAATTGCTTCAGGGTTAAATCCCCAGTACCCCCTTCTCCTTCAAAAACAAAAAAAATCCTGACTACCCAGCAATAAGGTTTCAAGAGAGGCCACCTCACAAGCAACTGCAAAGTAAATACTGGCCCCAGTCAACCATTTCCAGGTAATCTAGACAAACCTGTCAATAGAATTTTTTCTGTTCCTGAGTGTTTCTCCAGATCCTAGAATGATGCTGGGCACATGTAAACATTAATAATGTACTTTTAAAAAACTTTAGTTGTAGATGGACACAATACCTTTATTTACTTTTATGCTAGGCAAGTGCTGTACCACTGAGCTACAACCCCAGCCCCTAATAATGTTTTTTTGGAGAGGGGTATAGGGATTGAACTCAGGGACACTATTTTGTATTTTATTTAGAGACAGGGTCTCATTGAGTTGCTAAGTGCCTCACCATTGCTGAGGCTGACTTTGAACCCACAATCCTCACCCTCCGAAGCTGCTGGGATTACAGATGTCACCGCACCAGCCCTAATAATGATTTTTGTCAGTGGAGAATGCAAACAGGACAGAGAAAAGCTGTAGTTGAAGTTCACAAAGTGTAATAGCTGGTGTATGAATTGTGCTATGAGCCCAATATTCTGCTACACATGAATTAGCTCTGTGAAATCCACAGAATTGGTTCTACTTTCCCCATTTCACAGATAAGAAAATCAAGGCAGACTTAGAAACTTGCCAAAGGTCACAGATGTATTGAACCCAGGGACACTTAACCAGTCACATCCCCATCCCTTCTTGAGACAGGATCCAAATTGCTTAAGGGCCTTGTTAAGTTGCTGAGGCTGGCTTTGAACTTGATTCTCCTGCTACATTCTCTTGAGTAGTCGGGGTTACAGGTGTGCACCACTGCCTAAGGCTTGTATTAGTTTCTAAGAATTCTTAACCAGTCCAGGATTTGTTATACTGCAGTTACCCAAGAGAAGTGAAGTGCTAATCTTTGGCAAACAGGCCTATTTGGAGTTTTTTTTTTTTTTTTTTTTGGGGGGGGGGAGCAGTATTACGGATTGAACCTTGGGACTTGTGCATGGTAGGCAAGCATTCTACAACAGAACATTTCTAGCCCAAATGGGCCTTTCTGAATCCTAGTTCTACCAAGTGACAGTCCATCTTGAGTGCCAAAGAGTAAAACAGGGTCAGATTAAAAAAAAAAAAAAGAGGTAAAATCCCAGATCTATGGCCAAATCTTTCCTGTATTGCACAATGGTGATACAATACAGTTCCAAAGTCCCTTGAATCAAACTTTCATGCCAGTCTCTGCCACACTGGCAGAGGGTAAGAGTCTCCTCATCTCCTTTAAAAGACTGCCGTGGGTTTAGGTCTTCCATCAGTTCTTCAGAGTAGTTTGCATTCTAGCGTCACTTGCTTGAAAAACTTGCTGAAGGAGGTTGCCAGCAGTGCATGCCTGTAATCCCAACTATCCAGAAAGCTGAGGCAAGAGAATTGCAAGTTGGAGGCTAGTGGCAGCAACTTAAGGAGACACTGTCTCAAGATAAAGGGGCTGGGGTTGTAGCTCAGTGGCTCTTGCCTTGCATATGTGAGGTACTAGGTTCGATCCTCAGCACCACATAAAGCTATTGTGTCCATTTACAACTAAAATAAATAAATAAGTGCTGGAGATTTAGTTTAGATTGTTTTGCCTAGCATGCATGCGGCCCTGAGTTCAATTCTCAGTACCAAAGACAGAAACACTAGAAATGTAAACTCTGATTCACCAAGTCTGGGGAAAGCTGGACTTTGGCAATCTGTGGGTCAACAAATCATGCAGGTAATCTCCTGTGCTAAGGTGTCAAGTGGGGACAAGTCATGGCTTAGGTTCTCCAGATTTGTTATGTGTAGAAACCAGGAATGCTAAGGAATTCTGCACAGTGGTATACTACCTCAACTAAAAATGTCAGGAGCAGCCTTTTGGGGCAGCAGACCACACTTTACCTATAGAAGGCAGTCACATCATTAAAACATTATCAATCAGTGGACAGAAGTAGTCTTTAAGTCTTACAAAGATTTTTAAATATTCACCCACAGTTCTCTATTTACTAACCAGTTATCTTATCCTATGAATGTTCTCCTTTACCCAGTCTTGTACAACATGTAGACAAAGGTTTTTTTTTTTAATTTTGTTTTTAATGATGGAAACAACAACAAAAATATCTAAAACCGAAGCTTCTGGAAGAACCATTTGTTCTTGCCTGTCTTGTACCTAGAAAGGGGAAAAAAAGGGATAGAGATTAAGAATGGAACAAGAAGACCAAACTCTTTCATGTACATTAGTAAAACTATATGCCAACACATACTACCAGAAACCACTTACCTCTCTTCAAACTTAATCTTGGCTTCCCGACGGGCCTTACGTTTAAGAGCAGGGTCTCTGAAGACATCCTTGTTGACGACAGTTTTGTCCAAGGGGATATCGACAGAGTACCTGGGAACAATGGTGGAAAGGTAGGATTAACTAGGGCTTTCACATAACCAAGTCCTCTGTGACACTGGGGTGGTCAGGGTCTGACTCCATAGCAGCTCTCATCAAAAACTGCTAAAGGGGCTGGGGTCAGCAGTAGAGCACTTGCCTAGCATGTGCGAGGTGCTGGGTTCTTTCCTCAGCACCACATAAAAATAAATAAATTAAATAAAGGTATTGTGAACAACTACAACTGGGGGGGGGGGGAACAAAAACAAAACCTGCTAAAGTTGGGGCTGGGGCTCAGTGGTAGAGCGCTTGCCTTGAACACGTGAGTCACTAGGTTCAATTCTAAGTACCATATATAAATGAAAAGTCTAAAGAGCATGGTGGTACATACATATAATCCTACATCTCAGGAGGCAGAGGTGGGAGGATCAAAAGTTCAAGGCCAGCTTAGGCAACTTAGTGAGACTGTCTCAAAATAAAAAAGGGCTGGTGATGTGGTTCAGTGGTTAAGTGCCCCTGGGTTCAATCCCCAGTATCACAAAAATAAATAAGCAAACAAACAAATAAATAAGTAAATGCTGATGCCCGATAACATTCTTTGGAAATCCTCATTTCTAAATATTCATTTACACAAACTCAAGTCATTGAAAAATCTCCTTCTCGACTTTCCACAACTCCTATTTTTTGAGCTAAAAATCATTATACTGGTCCTTTTTTTTTTTTTAACTTTCAAAATGGCAGTTGGCTAGGTTTCTATTTATATCCATTTCACTTAGTATTATTCATATTCTGTCAAAGTAGCCAGTAAGGAGCTACCTATATCAATCTCACCATAGTCCAGCACCCAAGAAAGAGCAGTCATATCTTTTAAAATTAAAATTTTAGGTCTGGGGATTGAAGTCACATCTTCACTAGGAAAGTACCTGATCACTGAGCTACATCCCCAGACCCAGCCTGCTCAGCTTTTAGGTTAGTAAACCAAAGCAAATGGGCAGTTCTAGCATGAATTTTAAGATACATGCTGCCAGGCTCTGGCAATAATTGTTCAGGACTCTTGAGGAGGGACAGTGGCAGACAAGGTAGTGGGGATTGAACACAGAGGTGTTTTGCCCCTAAGCTATACCCCGTTTTTGAGACAGTGTCTTCTAAGTTGCCAAGGCTGGCTTTCAAATTGTGGTGATCCTTGTATTTAAACCTCCCCAAGTAGACACAGGCCACCATACCCAAAAGGACTTGTGCATGCAAGGGAAGCACTCTACCAATTGAGCTATATACTCAGTCCAAGGACTCTCAATTCTTATAACCAGTGTACCAAGATAGTCTATGTTTTTCACGGGCTTACTAGGAACCTATGCCTGTGTTTATCATAAAGGTGACGATCTTGGGCTGGGGATGTGGCTCAAGCATTAGCGCGCTTGCCTGGCATGCGTGCGGCCCGGGTTCGATCCTCAGCACCACATACAAACAAAGATGTTGTGTCCGCCGAAAACTAAGAAATGAATATTAAAAAAAAAAAAAAAAAAATTCTCTCACTCTCTCAAAAAAAAAAAAAAAAGGTGACGATCTTTAGCTAACATAAAGACAGATAAAGAGCAATTTCTTTCTTTCTTTCTTTTTGTTACTGGAGAATTGAACCCAAGGATGTTTTTCTACCACATCCCAAGTCCTTTGCCAAGATAGGCAACTATGCAAGACCCTTCTTTTCCTCAAAAAAGAAAAAAATAGTCCAGACATGTAGTTCAGTGGTAGAGTACTTGCCTAAGATGAGTGAGGCACTGGGTTTAATCCCTAGTACCATGAAAATATAAAAATCACACTCCTATCAATTCTTAAATGCTCACCTTGTGGGCATGAGGTGATTGTAATTATAAACTTTCACAAAAGACTTGATCTTTGACCTTTTGGCGATTTTCTTCTTGCCCATGGCAGCTGTCACTTTGCGGGGATAGCGGTCGATTCCAGCCACCAGAGCATGGCTGTAGGGACGGTCTGATGTGCCATCATCAATATTCTAAATAAACGAGTATTACATTTGTTATTAACTGAGTGCCCGTTTAGGCCCTGTGCTAGATATGTGGAATATGTGTATGTGTCACAACAGCAAGACAGGTGATGTGTGCAACTGGTGTACAAGGAAAACTTTAAAGCCTCTTTGGTGGAGAACGTCTCACATTTGTTTTTATTTTGCATCTTCCCTTCCTCTCTTAAAAACCCTCATGCATCACCATTCCCCGGAAGTAGGTCTTAAATTCCAAGCCTGTCCGCCCTCCACAACCCCTCCACAACCCGCCGGGTCCCCGGATGCAA